GGGAGGTGTGTGGAACCGCGAGTGAGCCCCGCTGGGCGGGAGAGGAGCATCGCCGAGCTCGCCGCAGGCCGCTGTCGGTGCCCGGGAAAGCCTGGCGGGAGAGCCGCGCGGGCTGAGATGTGGGGCAGGAGTGAGGGCAGAGCTAGGTGCATCCTCCCCTCACTGGCTGTTCTCTCCCTGCAGGTGAAGGAGAACAACTACCGAGGCCACGGGGACAGTGTGGATCAGCTCTGCTGGCACCCCAGCAACCCTGACCTCTTCGTCACAGCCTCTGGGGACAAGACCATTCGCATCTGGGACGTCAGAACCACCAAGTGCATCGCCACTGTCAATACTAAAGGTGAGTCTGCCTTCCCAGGTGGGTCCCAGCAGGAGCTCAGCTGTGTGGGACCTGCCTGGAGTGGCACAGAGCTTTGGACCTTACCTGTGGTTGTTTCTGGTTGTGGCATTTTTGGTGATTGCTTTATCTTTGTGTTGCACTCATCAGTAAGGAGCAGCAGTGAATGTGAGAGCTGATTTACTGTGGGGTCAGGACCAGGGGAATTACTGAAATGCAGTGATGGCTGTTAAAATGCTTTGTGTGCTTGTCTCTGGAGTCTGGGCTGTGAGGCTGGAGACTGGGGAAAGGCGTGTTTGCAGAGAGACAAGTGGGAGTAAAAGTTTGTGTAGAATAAGAAAGCAATTATTTGAATTCATACGCTGGTTAACCCAGACACTTTGGAAATGTCCAGTCCAGACACCATCTCTGCCCTTGGAAATGTCCAGTTTTGAGTTGTAGGGGTTGAAAATAGCGTTATAAGATTATAACTGTAGCCTGCCTGGTTCTTACCCTCATTCAAAGGTGTTTATTGTTGGCTCCTGCTTTTTTGGAGCTCAGCTATCGCTGCATTCAGAGGATCTTTGGGTTGACCTTGTGTGGAGATTGCTGTGGTCTCATCTTGGCTGAAGTGGGAAGGGCAGTGTGTTCATGCTGTCTTGGAGCTGCACTTCTCATAAGTTATATTGACTGGATTTGGCTGGGTTTGCTGGACAGCTACTGTGCAGGGTTTATGTGTCAGACTGCAGACCTGGCAGTCTCCCCTTTGGGAGCGGAGTGGAAACAGGACCTGCTGCCTTTCTGTCCGTTCAGGTGAGAACATCAACATCTGCTGGAGCCCTGATGGACAGACCATCGCTGTGGGGAACAAGGACGACGTGGTCACCTTCATTGATGCCAAGACACATCGCTCCAAAGCTGAGGAACAGTTCAAGTTTGAGGTGAATGAGATCTCCTGGAACAATGACAACAATATGTTCTTCCTCACCAACGGCAATGGCTGCATCAACATCCTCAGGTGAGTGCCCATGGCTGCAGGTGGGTTGGGCTGGCTGCAATCAGTCTGCAAGTGCCTTTGCTGCTTTTGGGGAACCTCAGTCCCACACTCCAGTGATTCCCAGTCCCCTGGTGGGAATGGGCTTGTCTGGAGCTGGGGTTGCCCCAGTTCTGGGTTGGGGACACTGATGCTTTGCCTCATTCACTCAACACACTTAAACACTTTTCCTGCCTTGGCTGGGTTTGTTCCCAGTCCCAGTGTGTCTCATGCCTGCCCTGCTTTAGCTAATTCCTGAGTTTCTCTCACTGCTCTCTGTCTTCTCCCTTCTCCACAGCTACCCAGAGCTGAAACCCATCCAGTCCATCAATGCTCATCCTTCCAACTGCATCTGTATCAAGTTTGATCCCATGGGGAAGTACTTTGCCACGGGCAGTGCTGATGCCCTGGTCAGCCTCTGGGATGTGGATGAGCTGGTGTGTGTGAGGTGCTTCTCCAGGTAGGTAGAGCTGTCCCAAAGCTGTTTTCCCCCATCTCTGGAGTCCATACAGGGAGTGGCTCACTGTCTGCTCCCCTGGGTTGCTGCAGGCTTGACTGGCCTGTGCGGACACTGAGCTTTAGCCACGATGGGAAGATGCTAGCGTCGGCATCAGAAGATCACTTCATTGACATTGCCGAGGTGGAGACAGGTAATGGCTTACTTTTGGGGAGCAGCAGGGAGGGAATCGAAAGGAGAAATTCTGGTGGAGCTGGGAGGGCACTAGGAGAATCGTGTGCAAAGGAAGAGCTTTGCAGTGCACAGCAGAGTGCCATGAGGGGGAGCCTCAGCCTCGCTAGTCAGCGGCACACGCTTGTCATGTCTGTGCCTTGTCACCAGGCGACTCAAAGGCGCTGGAGCAGCGTTTGTGCTGCCTCTGCCCTGTGCCAGAGAGAAGCTGCAGGTGCTTGGCTCTGGGGCAGCGAGCAGTGGAGGGCTGGATGCTTTCCAGGCTGACGTGGTCCCTTTTCCACACAGGAGAGAAGCTCTGGGAGGTGCAGTGTGAGTCCCCCACCTTCACAGTGGCCTGGCACCCGAAGAGGCCACTGCTGGCCTTCGCCTGTGACGACAAAGATGGCAAATACGACAGCAGCCGGGAGGCTGGAACCGTCAAGCTCTTCGGGCTCCCCAACGACTCTTGATGAAGCCACACTGAGGGAGGCCACACCTGCCTTCTCTCGGGGATGGGAGCTGCTTAGTGTAGGGGTGGGAAGGAGTTGGCTCCCCTCCTTGCCGGCCTGGCAGGGTGCTGGCCTTCGCCTGTGACGACAAAGATGGCAAATACGACAGCAGCCGGGAGGCTGGAACCGTCAAGCTCTTCGGGCTCCCCAACGACTCTTGATGAAGCCACACTGAGGGAGGCCACACCTGCCTTCTCTCGGGGATGGGAGCTGCTTAGTGTAGGGGTGGGAAGGAGTTGGCTCCCCTCCTTGCCGGCCTGGCAGGGCTGTGACCTCGGACTGGGCTTGGTGTGTCTTGCTCTTAGGAGCATTTGTAAACAGGCAGCTGTGTGCTGGGGAGAATGGGGGGATGCTGGCAGGGGCCCCC